GCGTAGAGGGACTTTGCTTAGGTGCTTCGAAGTCGTATGAAGCCATGTGTGATGCACTATCTTATCCGTTGACAGTAGCGTTCCCCAAGTAAACGTAAAGGCCTTCCCGTGCCAGGCTTCGATTCACCCAGTCAGTGCTCTCTCTAAAACATAAAAAGTTGACTGTCCAGTGTTTGTAAGACTCAATTTTGGTTCAATCCATCGACATGCCAATGGAAATTTACTACAGAATAGGCGTACCAATTAGGCTACGATATCATACTCAGCTCGGAGCGGTAAATGTGATAACACCGAGCTTGAAGATAATCGTCTCGAGTCACCACATCGAAGTGCGAAGGCCGCTGCTGCGTCGTGTAGTTTGTTCCATAGTTTATGCGGAGAGTGTCCCGATTATCTAGCGTTGGGTACGCTTTTAGACCCAGGCGTGTTTTCCTAGCTCTTTACACGATAGTGGCCTCTACTTTATTTGCAGACCAGTGCACATGAATCGACTCTTCGTATGGTATCATAGATATGGTTTGAACTTTAGAGCTAGGCATACCATTGGACCGATCTTTGATACTAGTTATAATGGCAATATTGACTTTGCTGTTGGACATTATAGCTAGCTTCGCTATTAGACTTCCAGCAAAAAATGATATCGATATTCCCTGACTGCTGTATTATAAAACGAGGCTTGCTAAACATCGCTGGAGATAAAACCTAATATTTATTAAGTGTATGTAACAAAAAATTTCGAAAAAATTAAAACTACATATGCATGTGCACGCCCTACACGCCGTGGAAATCCGTTATTGTCTGGAAAAAAGTGATCTATTATGAGTGTTTTTTGTTTGAGGTCTGCATTAAACATTAATAAACATGTGATGTTGGATAACAAACATGTGGAGCGGCCCTATAACAATAATAACGGCCCTTTTCGATATTCTTAATACAGCGTTTGTACAAGTTCTAATAACTCACTTATTGTTATTTACGGTATCGTAGGCATGTGTATCAAATAATATCTTCGTAAACCTTTTTGGGTCTTTCATCTCGTTCAAGTGAAAGCGATCTGTCACCCGGTTTGTGTTCGTACTTTGATATATGGAACTGCCGTAAAGACCCGCGGGAGGAAGGAAAGGGAGGCACGCCTATAGAGACCTGTTCCTGGTTAAGAGTACTCCATACCGGAAAGCAGGCCATCTAATAAGAACAACGTCTAGTGTTGGGTAGCGTATTCTAGATGAGCAATTTAAAGCTGCCTCTGTCGCAGAATTTTGGGCTAATTCTATTATGTTTCGAAGGTAATATAAGGCCTAATAAATCATATCAGATGGGTAAACGCTCATAGCCGCTTCAATTTAGTTCCTCAATTTCGATTCACTGGTTGGCACTGTCGTGCAACGCATGCGGTGAGTCTACCATAAATCCTGTCATTGCTGCTGATGTGTCCTGCACGGTTCTTGTTTCGCAACAGATATTTCGTTGGCGCCGATCAGCGGAGTTTGCCTATTTTGCAATCAGCTGTGGTTGACTGGCCGATTGTTTACATTTGGCGATATGCTAGCCTGCAATGTGGCTTTTACCCATTTTTTTTTTTTTTTGACGATTATGTCATAAGCATACATCGATCCAACTGACTGTGATTTCGACGAAAAGAACCAAGCGACCACACCCTCATTGAAGACCTTCATACGCATGCAAGCAATCTTGTACAAAGCTTCCGAGCCACGTGGATCCTCTGCATATTTTCATCGAGCTGCGCGTATAACCCTCTAGCTTAAGTCGAAATCATGGAAATCTGCTATTATCGTCTTTACAGCATCTACTGTAATTGTAATCGAGTAATCGACCTCATTTCCCTTATTTCATTAATGTTTGTTGTTTGTCGTCCGCTTGTTTTGGTAAACGCTGAAATGCTTGATGACCTTCTAATGTGTATCTCATACCAATAAGTCGATTTTCAATTATGTCAAAGATTTGTGTTTATTTGGTAAGAGGTAATGAATAGACTGGAATACACCAATAATATGCACGAAGCGCCAAATCGGCCACACCGAGTCCTTTTACAAAACGGTTGCACAATCCTTGTTGTGTACTTATAGCTAATCATCAAACATTACAACCACAATGTAATGATAGGCGGCTCGTTTGATCCCATCGCTAATGTCTAGAGTAATATATATCCCTATTTTGCGCGAGTGTTAGTTTGATGCTCAGGCCATAAGGAATAGGGCATATACTGTTCCGGAAACAGCCAAATGTGTGGAATGCTACTTTCGAAAGAATCAAAGAAAAAATCATTTTTCCAAAACCATATTGACGAAATAATAAACTGGCATGTTTAGCAGAATCCTCAGAAAAAATCTAAATTATCATTGAAACAAATTTTCAGGTTCACGTTGGGCATAGCTAAATGTGATTGCTACGCATTCGCAATATACAGTTCTTTCACCTTCGTTATTACCTTCTACCCTCATACACACCTGGCTTACGTCCCACATTGACAAGGACCAAAGCACGTAATGCACGTTTTCCTGTTAAACATGCATCGCCTATTCCAGGCCCCTTCTACTGCTTTATTCACGCTTAGCACCACCATAGCAAGCACGCGTACAATTGTCATCAACAGTATTTAGCTTCTTCTAACGATAAACTTGATTTCAGCCAAAATAAGTGTCAGCAGTGATATTGCCTTACTACAACACAAACACGATGCTTCTAGCCGGCGACTGAGAAGACGGCCCCAAAAACCTAAAGGCTTTATGATTCAGAAAATGACAGCTAGTAACGAGCGAGTTTATGCTACATCGAACGTGAGTATACGAAGTTCAAACAATAAAAAAGTTAAAAAAAATCTTAGGAGTCTGTGATAGGCAGCTTTCCTGTAAAATGAACGAACTGCAATGTTTATTTTTATCGTTTTTCCTATGGAGTCTTCCAGGGCAGTAGGTATCGAAGTGCTCTTCGACTGATTGAATCTCAGTTATTATGCTTACCTATTGTGCGACGCTTACAAAGAATATGGAACAAAAAGATTGGATCGTATCGCGCCTGACTGCGAGACAGCTGAACTAACGAATCATTGCATAGTCAACACATATGAGATTTCTCCACCATCTTCAAGGAAGTACCACATTTTTTGAGAGGGCATATAATGTTAATATAATAATAATGACTTTGATTAATA